ATATTTTCTGCCTTTCTCAGCCTCTCATCGCGTTAGATTGATTATTCCCGCGGAAAACTGGCTTTGTATTTTCGACCCTAAAAGGGCTGGTCTAAATCTGGCAATCATGGTGGCATCTAAAAGGGCGCCTTTTCCGCTGTCGATCGATGTGAGTTTTATTTCCATATTTTTCCTCGTTCACTGTTTCCTTTTTTCTGTCCATTTCTCGATTTGTCTATGCGTTAGAGGGCCTTTCCCTGAGCAAAGTTGACTTTGTTTTTTTTACCCTAAAAGGACTTAAAATGGTCCACATCTGGCAATCGTGATGGCATCTGAAAGTTAATGTCTTCCTGTATCTATTGAGGTAAGTTTCATTTCCAAAGTTTGCTTTTAGTTACAAGATACTTTTCGAGAGAAGGGAAGCGTTCCTGTCCTACCGTTTCATATTTTCTGCAATTCTCAGCTTGTCCTGACGTAAGATTGACTATTCCTGCGCAAAGTTTGCTGGGTATTTTTGACCCTTAAAGAACCGAAAATTGTGAAAAGCAGGCAATAGTGGTGGCACCTGAAGGGTACATATTGCTCTATCGATTGATGTGAGTTTCATTTCCCTGTTTGCTGTCGATGGGAAATTATCCGCGAAAGAAGGCAAAGGTTCTTGGTTCAGTGCTTCCTTTTTGGCGGGCCGCGACGCAACTGTGCGAGCCCATGTAATATCGATTTCCCTCTTCTGTTCGTCCGTCTGTCTGTTCGGCCGCCTTCAAATGTTAAAGTTTTTCCTTGCAGGTCCATAGGTGTTAAAATTTGCCATTGAGTACTTGTCTGCTTCTTCTTGGAATCCATCAATATGTAAATAGCCTCATACAGCATTAATGCTTAGAAATTTATGAATTTATTTAAAACCCTGGACACTATGACCAGGTAGATCTTAATCTACAGCAAAACTAATATTTGGCAATTCTGTGACCTGGAAAATCCATTAGCCAGCCCCAGCCTTGTAATTCTACCTCAGTATGTCTGCTATCAGCCCACAACAATAATTTGGTCAGGCGGTGGCTGAAAGCCTCAGGAGAAAATAAAACGTGGTTGAATCTTGGTTAAGTCTTAGAAAGCATTTGTGTAGATTGAAATCTACACAGTTAATTAATAGGCTTGTCGGACAAGTTTAGGGAGGAAAATATCAACCCAAGCCGAAATACAGCTTTATCAGCTCAGACCAAGGTTGTGTGTGTGAATAGGGCAACCACTGTTTCATTATGTTTCAAGTTAGCAAGAAATGTGTGTCTTTATCTACTTAATTTTCGTATTTTATTGTTGTTAATAATACTTATTATCATCACTATCATTATTAAACTGGACAAGAAATGTTCTACAGTCATCTATAAAGCTACATGAAGTGATAAAGGGCATAAAGGAAGTCATTTACCCCCACTTTGAGACAATTAAATCCAAAAATTCACGTAAAGATTTTTATGATGGGCATAATATTTTGTGTTTCTAAAACCGCAAATGCTACCGAAAAAAATGTGTAGTGTATTGTGTACTTACTCTGTAGTACATAGAGTCCATACACGTAAGCATTGACCACTCCTGTAATGTACATATATGTATGCATAGACAAATGTACATGTACAGCATGTGGGAAAATGTAAGGGGTGGGGTACTCCAAGTATGTTGTTGGGGTATGATCATGGGGACAAAGAAGATGTAAAAACTATGTAGAAAGTGGATGAAATGCTGGATAACGTTTGTGTAATGGTTGGGCTGGGTTAGTGGGATGGTGTGACAGTCAGAGTAAGAAGTGAAGGGAATGATGAGTATAGGAGATGGATAGGATGATGGGGAGGGGCGGAGTAGGAAATGGATTGGGATGATGGGGTTGGATACAAAGTGCAGAACTATGTACTTTAGAGGAATTTTAATTATCTACCATCAATCAAATTCACAAATGCACTGCTTATATAAACATCCAGGTCTAGTCTGTCTGTACTAGCTAGACCCACTTTCTACAGGCATTCCTCTCTCCTGTAAAGAACTGTGAAGCCTTTGTACCGGTACCTCCATTTGTGGTGGTCTTTGTTGATTTACTTTTAAATGACAGGTGCCTTTCAACACACAGTCTGCACAAAGCACTGAATAGGTTTTTTTTCTTCTAGAGTACTATGAATTGCATTGCTAAGGTCGATGAAATAGCTTGTACATGGGTATTACAGTCGTATGTCAACCAATCTAGTAAAAAATATTGATGAGGCTTCGTTCGTATTTCCTTTTATTAATTTAGTAATCATATTTGTATAAATTGGATGTCTCTTTCCTGTTATTACAAGAAAGAAATTCAAATTCATAACAAGCAGCGAGCCATGACGGCTTTGCCATTCTAATTTTCGCATTTCTCCAATTGTCTTCACGTTACAGGGCCTATTCCGCGTAAGGTTTGCTTCGTATTTTCGACTCTAAAATGACTTTAAGTGGTCCAAATCTGCCACTTGTGGTGGCATCTGAAAGGGAACATACACCCGAGGTTAAGCCAACTGACACCCATTGTGTCACATGATACATGTGTTAATGATCCTAACACCTCATGCACTTCAGCTTCACTCTTGTTGGTTTAAAACAGTGCGTATCGTAAGCCTGACGTGCGCCTCATTGGTCTGACGCCTCAAAAGTCCGAATTTTTCGGACTTATGAGGCGTCGGAATATTAATGAGGTGTCGGGTTTATGGGAAATTTTTGTTTTCAGCCTCATAGTTCTGACGCCTCAAAGATCAGACGCCTCATAAATCCGACGTCAGACCAACGAGGTGTCGAACTTAATATGAGGCCTCAGTCCGATTAACTGTGAAACATGGAAGAGTGCGGGCCCTCGCGACGCGACGCTGCGTGTCGTAAATACATGTAGTAAACCATACTTGACACCTTGGAACCAGTCTTGTTCCTGGCGCCGTCTTCATACGCTCCTAGCTAGCGTCAAATCAAAACTCGGACTCTCGAAGCTTCGGATTTTGTGAGGCGTTGGATCTATGCCATGGGCCGAAAAACTGTTGGAACCTTCAGCCACATTTGTCGGACTTATGAGGCGTTGGACCTATAAGGCGTAGGATTTATGAGGCGTCGGACTTAGAGCTGACCCCCTCACGGTGGGGTCGCATGAGGTGCAGTATGTTCTATGTTGCCAGCCCATGTTGTTGCCCGCCGCACCTCGCGTGGAAATGTGGTGGTGATTTAAAGAAGCAGTGTACCTCATGCGCATTAGGTGTAACGGACAACATTAATCATTATACCCGATGTGGTTGAGTTGCGACACATGGTGTAATATTTCCCGATCGCCGCACTCGAGGTGTTTGAAGTATGTAAGTCTTTATGGTAATACTGCTTAAAAGGTATGATGAACAAAAAGTGACTACCACCTGATGCACTTGAGGTGCAACAACTAAATGCATGCATAGGCCTAATATTAAAGATCCCTTGGGTGTAACCGGCAGGCGTCAGGAAGGCTTGCGTTGCAATAGAGTGGAAGTGTATGAGGTTTAAGGAGGGTATAGTCTGATGTGCTTGACGTATTCAAACTCATGAATAATGTCCCAAGTTAATTAGTCAATATTTCACAAGCAATATAATTATAGGCTTATCTTAAGCATATACCCACCTGGCATTTAGATGCATGCGTATTCATGCTGTGAGAAGTTGTGATTAAAATGAACAGAAAAACAAACAACCCCCCCCCCAAACAAAATAGGTCTATCTGACTCGGAAGGACCATATCACGTTGGTCATCCTTCCACATTAACATTCGCTGCGTTTGTGGTGATGCGTGATCTACACGCATGTGGACCCTCTGTCAGCGATACGGTTGTCTTCGGCGCGACTGTAAAGTGTATACCAGTACTTGCGATACCCAGATTCACTCTCAGACTCATTATACCCTCTATGACGGACCACAGTTTCCTGTACGGTGACTGGTCGATTGCAAAAAGGAAATCATCACATGATGCACTTACTGGTCAAGATCAGGCCTGCATTGGCGTAATCTTGACTATTTTCACGGTGTTACGTCAAAAGTCTACATCAGTCGGATCTTGAAGTTATGATTTTTCCGGTAACTTTTTACTTTATGAACAAACAATTCAGGCCCTCAGTTTCAGTATAGGACTGCCACGGTAGTCGAAATTGAAGCCTCTCCAAAGAGACTCGGTGTACATTCCTCAGATATGGGCTGTAATCTTTACTGTTTTGATAACTGCCAAAGGCAGTTATCAAAAAACGAAAAGGCTCATTTTGTCCTTCCGTATGTAAGAAAGCACTAAAAAAAAAAGGGATATTGCGCCCCATTTTATCACTTTCCATGGGCGCCGCCATCCTGTCTGATACTCGGGCTGCCGCCCAAAGATTAACCTTGCAAACCAGACCGAAATAGCGCCCTCTGCCACTCTTTGGAAGTGATTGGACTTCCTATTTATTTTTAAACTGGAAATTAAGATTTTGGCCAGAAGATCACTTTTCGTTTCACTTTTTATGGGGGTTAGGCACAAAAAAAATCTTTCATTCGCCCTTCCCCGAAAATACCCCCAAAATAATGGGCCTTAAATTGAGCTCAGCTCAATTCTGAATGTAGGTCTCCGCTTCTCTCCCAAATATGCCTGCAATTTAGGGCTTTTTGTAAAAAAATTCCCGAACTGGAAATAAACTACCGGTCCCAAACTTAACCCCGTGAAATCACAAAATAATAAGGAGATCGCGCGAAGAAATCCAACCCATTTATGCACCACATGGATACGCGGCGCTATACAATCTTTGGTACGCGTCTTCCCGTGATTGTACATGTACCTCTTCTTTGCGGATTTTCTCTCCAAAGTGACCTTGATGGGGAAATTGTAGCAACTGTCGCAGGTCAGCATTATGAGCAATTCATTGTATCTGCTATCAAAATCTTGATCTTTTGATTAAACGAGTGACAACGGCCAGAAAATGGTCGAATCATGTCAATTGTCAATGTTAGTCATTGTCAGTACAGTAGCTATAGTTTAACAATATAATGTCGATTTAGCCCTGGCAAGATCTTGCCCCACACGAAGGGCTGTGGTGGCAGATCTGTCTACATGTAGGGACTGTCGGGTAAGGCCAGACCAAAGGCCAAGACCTACTTGTACATGTACCGGTAGTAGTTATCACAGTACATGAATGGTATGTATAACCATAACGCTGCTGGGTAGCTAGTTCTCACGTTGCAACACTGAACGTAACAGGCTCTCAACAATCGTTGACTTCAAGTAAGTAGTTCATTTTTCTGTCCAAATTTTTTATTGATTTTGTTATTATTTATAGTGTTTTAAATGAAATGTGTATTTTTTGTAAATTTGAATGGTTTGGTTCTAGGAACCGACCACTTTATTCAAATATTCGATGTTAATAAACCAGAATATATATTTGCTGCAATTGGTTAGGAGTGTTTATAGAACATATGAATAAATTTACACTGGTAGTGATAACGTGTAGGGGGACATTTGATGATTACTGGTGGTAACCATGTAATACACCCTGATTATTCAGTACGTGCAGACTTGTGGACATCTGGCTTTGTGCCATGCATCCACACATTTTCAGTGTGTACTCAGCTTGCTTGATTAATTCAGTTAACTTATATCTCAGTCTTCTTTCATCTTTTTTTAGTTTGTATTAATTACAGTACTTGTGTGTGTATACTCAGTCCAGTATTTATTTTACTTAATTATATACTTTACAAGAACTTTTCTTACTTCGATTTTATACCTGGACTTACATACATGTTAAAGCAAGATGCCATTATCTATGCCTAGGACTCTAAGAGTAGTTTTTTTAAAGCCATAATTTTACATCATTGTGTTTATTGGTTCAGGTTAATTGTTTCCTTGCTTTACAGAGCGTCTTGATAGTGATTAAGTTCACTTGTAGTGATCCGGCAGGTTTATGCTCCGTTCTGTTTATTGTTTGCCTGTATTTAATGTTTGTAACATATTGTTTTGTATGTTTGTCTTTGTGTGCACTCTGCGAAATAATATATGAAATGATTACACAAGGACATGTACCATTATGTAGCTGATTGCAGTGACCTTGCCATAGGATGGACAAATTGGGTTGATTTTTCTTCCCTTTTTCCTTCAGATTGAGCTCCAGAGCAAGCATCATTCATAATGGAGGGGAAGACAGTCAGCACGTGGGCCGGAACCTTCTCATGTACCCCTGAGCTCTACTTTGAGCCTGGCTCTGTTGACGAAATCAAACAGGTGCGTGCTTATGATGTGTGAAATAAATGGGCTCATGCAGTTTGTCCACTGGACGAGACACAGCCTTCCCATACCTTTGGCATTATCGGCACATGGACGTCGGCATTCATTCACATGTGAGCACCCTAATCTTGTTGATTCCTTGAAAACATTCATAAAATACAACAGTAGCCTACATCTCACCATTGATGTTCTTTTTATATGAGAAAATGGCGTGAAATTACGGCAGGACATAGATGTCCCATCGTAATTTCACATCTGCCTTGTATATGCACAACTGCTTTTGGTATTTGATCAAAAGCAGATATCATATCATACAAGATAGCCCAAAGAATATCAGGGTATACATGTAAAAATCCCAAAGCAAAATCCTTTCAATGGTGGCGGGTCAGGTTGGTGTAGCGGCTCATTCCTCGCCTTCCACCTCCGTGGTCCTGGATTCCTGGCCCAGTCCACACGGGAATTGGGTTGCCTCAACCTGATTCTGTGGGTTATTCCCAGAATATTTCTCTGGGGTTTTCTTCCCACCTCTAAAACAGTAACTGATTCTCATTGTCTCTTCTCTACAGCGTTCCTTCAGGCTTATGAGCTTACAGTGCCCAGGGCACTCAGTTAAGGAATCCTTGGTGTCAGTACCAGAAATTAAAATAACAGTGATGTAGTCGAGGACTTTTTGAGAACCAAGTTCTCTACCAAATATTTAACTAGTTAGGAGGGAACAAAGCTTAAGTACATTGGCATTTTAAGGTACATGCATAAAGGTAAGATTACAAAACAACATAATGACTTCAGACCATCACTGTTTGATTAAAATTAACTTTTTAGAACAAAAGTACTCAGAAAGTACTTGGCCGAGTACTTTTCAAGTACTTTTCACCTTAAAACTTAAATTTTACACAACTGGGAGTGTCTGAAGTCTAACATTTATTTTGTAATCTTACCTTTGCACATGTACCATCAAATGCCTGTGCACCCAGGCTTTATTCCCTCTTACCCAGTTCAGTAGTTTGCGGAGAACGTAGGTACTCAGAAAGTACTCAACTACTGTAAAATAACAAGAAAAGATAATACTCTGGCTTTGGAATTATGTGACATTCAATGAACTGGGTGAGTGAGTTCTTAAGGCCTAGCTATAAAAAGCTGACAATGGCAAAACAGAATGGATGGTGCTACGTTTGTAGTTCATTTTTGTTGCTGTACCATTTTTATTTGCCTAACCTCACACAGGCACTGAGATTGATATTGTCTGGCACTGTCCATGTTGAACAGGGCCCTCGGATAAAAAGGTATCTCCCTCCCATTTTGGATTTAGCAAGCAGGTTACCTGTTCACCACAGACAGTTGAGTGAACGTTCTACATGTACACCCTGACCCCATCAAAATGAATGTACAAAAAAATCCTGGATCGCCCTACATGTACACAACACTCTGTAATGTCAGGAAAAATCTGAATAGATGGACTTTAGTCACTGTCCAAATTTATTTCTTACATGTGCATGTACAATCAACAGATCTACATGTACAAAGGTTTTGTTTCCATATTTTCCAGTGTTGAGAACTGCCGGTACATCCCTGGTTCTCTCCATATTCCAGTGGAGGGACATCACTGAGAACCATTTTCCAATCAATTTTTAGGCTTGCGACATGTACATGTATGTCAGAAGAGCACATTCATATTATTATACCACAGATGGACAGGTGGACCTGTAAGGTTTTCGCCGTGGTACTCGGTGTGCGCATGATACTTGTTTGCACAGCATATACTGGTCAAGCATTACATGTACTTTATTCTATCAGAACATGGATCAAAACTATACACTTTTTGAATTTTTTTTTACCAATGTTGCCCATTGCCAACCTCAAGGGCTTTTTATGCTCATGATAGACTTACCTCAACTACACATATTTGACATGCTTCATTTTCAGAAATTTTGGTGTGATAATATTCTGGGAAATTCATTAAATGTATTTACATAAATACCTTGTACGCTGTTCTGTTTTCAAAACTGTTAAATTCATAATTGTACATGTACCAATAAGTTGTCTATGCTCTCAGGAAGTTATTAAAACCAGCTGACTTAATTTTGAGAAATTAAGTTTCAAAGTTCCGAGTAAATATTCTATTGAAATTACCCCAAACTGACCAACGTGAAGGATTGAAAAGTTAAGTTTCCTTGCATCAAACAAAGAATTATTTGGATATTAACCACTGAAATGGTAAAAGATCTCGAATTGTCAAAAAAGATTGAAAACTACATTGCCATTATCTCCAAAATGATTTTGGCAACTTCTGATCGGTTTTCCCAGTTCGCATTTTGTAAATTTACAGACAATCAGTCCATCAAATTAAAGATGGTAATGATCAACAGGTGGACAGAAAGGTTTGCAAACTTTGGAGGAAAGGGGGCATTTGCCAGACCATCAAGGACTTGCCAAGAGTGGGGGCCCAATCATAACCCCCAAGTCAGAAAAGGGGGGCCAGTACAAAAAACTTTGTTTAGGTAATTTAATTTAGGTAGTGGACTTCAAATTGTACAGTAATGCTTTTCTTGGATGGCACAGATTTTGGAGTCGGCGCGTAAGGCCAGCAAGCGCGTGAGAATGAGCGGCCAGTTCCACTCGCCGTCCAACATCGCGATGACCGACGGCTACATGATCAACATGAAGAACTTCAATCACGTCATCGAGGTGTGTAATGTATTTCTTGTTTTATCAGGAGGTCGTCCTGCAGTGCTGGTAATTGTTTATAGAATATGGATTTACACGGGAACGCGTAGGGGGATGCAACACACCCTGATTATTACCTTATGAATTGTGACACCCCCCCACGGTGACATTATCTGTCCCAGGAGTGTAAATAATTAGTGTTTGTGCATGTAAGTGGAAAGGCAAGCATAATTCAACAAGGTGACAGATTGAATGCTGTGTTCTATGAGTTGAAGCTGAGTGATGCACATGATGTGTTTGCATTGGAGCCGCTCGCTGTTGCACATTCCTGGATAAATGGTCCGTGGTATAACCATTCCTTAAATGGTGAATGTCGGACAGCCAACATTCTACCAAACAAATACATTAATGACTTGTGATTGATGACCCCACCGATGGTTGGATGGTGCTTCATACTCGGGTGTTATTTAATAGCCACTCACTTAGGACCAGCTTGTAGGCACAGTAGGCTGTGTGCTTATAATTCCAACAAAAAATTCAGGGGCCTGTGAAAAATATGCCGCCCTATGAAAATACTGCAGGTGGACAAAATACCAACATTCACCCATGGATAGGCACATAGAAGAACTTTCAAAGATAAGGATACGGAAAGCTCCAAACCAGTCACTCATAGCTTAGCATCAATATAAAAAGCTACGCTCAAGGGGCTGTCTCACTACACACTCTGTTTGAAAACTGGCAGGAAGACATGAGGTCCCGTGAAATTGACCAAAGTAGAAAAATTAGAGAGCCGAATTAAGTGTTCTATAATTTCAGTAGGCACTGTTCAAAAGGTTCCTGGGTTTGTTCCATAGGCCCCTTGGCACCATTGAACTTAAACGTAGCCCCATGGCAACATTGTTACTTAGGCCCTACATGTGCATGTAGGTACCATGCCTTGTTCCGTAGGTCCCTGGGCACCATTGTTCCGTAGGCCCCTGGGCATGTTCTGTAGGCCCCTAGGCACTATTGCTCCATACGTGTAGGCCCCTGGACACCATTGTTTATTCCTGGCACGAAATGGGCAGAGGGGTACCCCCTCAACAAGTCCAATCCCTATACACACTCCAACCTATTGTCTGAAAGAATTCTCTCTGTCCAATAGTTTGTAGCAAATGCGATAGTTTAGTAGAACCAAAGAACCATATTCCTTAGGTACCTGGGCACCATAGGCCCGAGGCACATGCCTCCGGTATTCCATAGGCGCCTGGCCTGGGCACAGTTGCTCCTTCCTCCATGGTGTGCCATTTGCACCAGTGTCCTCTACAACCTAGAAACTAGAACGGCAAAGCCGTCATGGCTCACTGCTTGCTATGAATTTGAATTTCTTTCTTGTAATAACAGGAAAGAGACCTCCAAGTTATATAGTTACTAAATCAAACAAGTAAATACTAACAAAGCTTCATCAAACTTTTTTACAAGATTTACTTGGTTGACATACAACTGCAATACAGCTAGATGTACAAGCTATTTTATTGACCTTAGCAATACAATTCATTGTACCCTAGGAGAAAAAAAACTAGTCAGTGCTGTGTGCAGACCGTGTACGTGTGTTGAAAGGTGCCTGTCATTTAAAGTAAATCAACAAAGACTACCACCAAGGGAGATATAGGTACAAAGGCTCACAGCGCTTAACAGGGGAGAGGAATGACTATGCGGAATGTGGGTCTAGCTAGTACATGTACAGTCAGACTAGACCAAAATGATTATATAAGTAGTACATTTGTGAGTATGATGGATGGTGCATAATTAAAATTCCTCTGAAGTACCAGGTACATGTACAGCTCTGCACTTTGTATCCAACCCCATCATCCCATCCATTTCCTACTCACCCCTTCCCCATCATCCCATCCATTTCCTTACTCCGCCCCCTCCCCGCCATCCTACCCATCTCCTACTTTAGCGACCCCGTCCCCATCATCCTATCCATCTCTTACTCCACCCCTCCCCATCATCC